GCGACAGGGAACGAGGGGTGTTGGGGGCATGCGGCTCCAGGCTTGTTGCTGAAGTTGCAGGAGAGCGTGAACGAGTTGCGGGATGGTATGGATCGGATTTGCTACGAACGCGGGATCCTAGTTTTTGGTCAGCATGTTGAACTATCTTAGTGGAGCTGGCACATACGCATAGCAGGTGGACTCAAAGAGTCATAATCCGCCGTCGATTTGGAAGGATCAAAATTGGGACTCCGCAACGGCGGAGCGAACTCGACATTGATTGATGGAGGCGCCATCTGGGAAGCCTGGCCAATGTCACCCGGAACATTGTTCAATTGGCCCATGTTCATCATGTCATCTGAAGGCATACCGTACATATCCGTCGGCGCCGAGGGGAACTGGGAGTTAGGTCCCAGATAAGAGTTATTGGGTACCATCTCCCCTCCCTGCTGTGGCATTAACCGCGGCGAGATATATGGGCTGTGAAGTGGGCTGATCCCTTGTTGTTGCTGCTCTGAGAGCGTGAATGATTCAATGCCCAGAGCGTTGTCATACAAAGCGGGGTCATTCTGAGGTACCAACGAGGGCGACGCATTGCTCTCAATACCGTCGAATTCATGCTGAGACACATAGGGGGAGTGGTTGGCCGAGGACACTTCGGACACCTCAGATGGCGCACGTCGATGACCCTGGAAAGATGCATTGTTCATAATATGCCCCCAGTCTGGACCCGATTGAGCGCTGAGGTAGGCCGCAGTTGCCGGGTCTAGCGAGGTGTGCCGTGAATGCTGAGGAGTGAAGTATGTGCCCGGGGTGGATCCTGGAGGGGACATAGGACCCGGCGATGAATGCTGCTGATCCTGCGATGACGGGTGCGAAGAGGCGGAAGGATTGGAGATGGGGCTGACCAGGTCGGCAGGGTTGATGGCCTGGTTCACTGACTGGCGTTGATGCATTTGCGGATCCAGCAACAAAGAAGAGTCGTACTCTGATGCGGTGGTGCTGTTAGGACTATGGTTCTGATAGACCGAAAAGTCCATTTCTGCCGGGTTAGTATTGAGCATGTTGGAGAAGTTCTCGTCCTGCATCGGTCTGAGTCCTGTCGACGAGTGTTCGAGCTGATTGACCAGGCTCGCCTCAAACGACTGCGAGATCGGCATGTTTGTATTGATAGCCGGAGGATAGCTCTGGTCGGCCGGAGGGGATAATGTCTGTGCCGGAGGGGCCCCGGAGAGGTAGCTTGAGTACCCATATTGTTCAGCGCCCATGCTCCCGTCCGGGTTGTGAAAGGAGGGGGCCGAATAGGCGGTCATGGAGGGGTCGACGCCCAATCCGGAGTTTGGATCGTGATATTGGAGGTGCGGCGATGGGCTCACACTGCGATGCTTCATATCCGATTGGGCATGGGCCGAGCCTTGGTTCTGGTCATGCGAGGCCATAATTGCGAATGCGCGCCGATGAGGCTCTGAGGTGAGCGCCAAGCGGGGGTTGCGGTCAGGAGAAGGCAAGGAGCGGAGCAGAATCGGAGTCACGGATAGCGCAGGATTTCGGCGAAGGATATAGAGAGAAGTCGATTTGTCAGGGACCTAGACACCGGTTGGCGATGTAGGGATAAATGCTGATGGGGTGGGATGTCATTCGCAAGGGTCCAGTTTGGGTAGGCGCCGGTACGCGAATGATCCACTGGCCAGTGTCAGTGGAAGAGTGCATCCAGAATCCCGAGAACAATGATACCTTTTAATCAAAAGTTGACAATGGGGAGAGGAGAGTTGAAGATTGGGCGACGATTTCACGTGCGCAAGGCGGTCTGGTGGACACGTCTATACGCGGTCGATAACATATACGGAGCTGGTTACAGGAGATTATTTTATATCATGTTTGCCCTGTGCCCTAAGCGCAGCACAGAGTTTCCTTCTATAAGTTCCCCAATGGGTCTCCCCCACATTGTGTTAGTGCCGATAGCAGGTCAGATCACTGTTTTACTATTTTTATACAAGTCTACCTACCGGGACAAGATGCCATTCTACAGGTAAAACGGCTGCCTGTTCCTGGCATGACACACTGAAGAACACACTTTAACATCCTCTTCAGTCAAGGTGGAGGGTTGTTGAGCGCTAGGCATTCTTAGCTTTGCACAGCCACGCAGCTGAATCCTATATGCGCTAACCGCATTGGGAGCTATATCAGTCTGCCTTGCTGCCTCCATCTACGAAGTATAGATGACCGCATATGCTCCACCCATTGACACGTAGCTTATATTCCAGGGATAAGACAGTGACAAATACAACCCTAAGGCGTCCAATCTCCGTTCCAACCCTAAACGGTACCCAACGTAGCCAAACTAGCCCTAGCCTGATCCCCAGACCAAGCAAACAACAAATTATCCGAACAACTACTCCCAAGTCCAGCATTATCAACCCAAGCAGGCTCCCAATAATAGATCCCCAGTCCACCCGAAACCCCCGAAACAACAGCAGCAAGCCTCTGCAAGAAAGTCTGCTGTCCAGCAACAGAGAACGGAATATCCTTCAGATCCGACGGGAACGAATAAGCCGGGCTAGGACAAGCATAAGGCCAATTCGTCTCAACAACAATAGTCTGCTTCCCATACGTCGAGTACAAGTTCGCCAGACTAGTCTTAAGCGACGCGAGTGTGGCACTCGCGCTGTAGAAGGGGTAGTATGAGACGCCGATGTAGTCAAAGTCCGATGATGCCAGGGCCGAACCGGACGCGAGGACTTTGTTATAGAAGTAGGATTGGTCGGACCAGCTCCAGCCGTTATCTAGGTGGATCATTATCTTGGGTGTGGTGGTCAGGTCGGAGTCTTTCACGCCCCAGGCGCCTGAGTGTAGGATTCGCGCGATGTTGCTGTAGCTGCTTGTGGTGCCCAAGGGCCAGAGGAGGCCGCTGCGGATTTCGTTGCCGATTGAGACGATTGCTACGTCTAGGTCGTTGGCCGCGAAGGTGTTGCATACTTCTAGGGTGTAGTTGTATACTTGCCAGGCGAGGGTGTCGATGTCGGTTGTTGACCAGCCGGATGGGGTAGTCTAGAAAGTAAGTCAGTTATGCTGAACATGAAAGAAAAAGTGAATACTTTTTCGAATGGACGTACTTGATGACTTGGGTCAGCCCATGTATCGCTATAATGCAAATCAAGATATGTAGTCATCCCCTGTGCTTGCACCCTCTTCGCCAACTTGACATTATAGTCAAGATCGTACGACCCATCACTGGGATTAACCCAGACACGCTGACGAATGGAATTGACACCCGCAGCTTTGACAATAGCCTCCAATTTACCCGTTGTACCAGCAGCATTCTTATACGAGATTCCCGAATCCTCTTCCACAAGAAGAGAAGAGATATCCGCACCGTGGATACTCAACGCAGCTGAAGCCGAAGCAAAGAGCTGCGTCGCAGCTAGAAGGAGACAGGGAAGCATATGCATATTGACAAGACCAATCCAAAACCGACTACAAGAAAGAAGAAAGAGAGAGGAAAAAAAATGAGAGAACGCAGTGTTAAGACAACTCTCAACGCTCAACTCTACTCGGGAGTTTCCACCAAAGATCCAAATTCTCCGAACAGTCTAACCAAGACTTCCAATTAACCCGTGCAGATCAACCAAAGCCATGCAAACCCCCCGGGAGATATCCCACCTCGGCCTAGTTCCCGCCGTGAAACACATCCTGGAACAGGCACGGCAGAGACGATAGGCGGGGAATTCATGGATGTATGCATCATAACCAGGTTTTGTGTATTACCGTGGGCATTTTAGCTTTGGTGGAGAATATACTGGTCTCAGTAATCTCGGTTGGAGTGCGTTCCCGTGACGATTTAGATTCATGGACATGGATAGGCCTCCAAAGTATGGGGTAGTGTGCAGGCACTAGTTCAAGGCTACGGGGATATATTCGGTGTTTTGCCGGAGATGGCGGTAAATAGTGACAAGTTTCTTGCCATCATTGGTGGAAGTAGAACCAACATTTTACATGCACTCCATATTCAGGCTTGAAATTGCGATGTGGGACGAGAGGGGCATATAAGCCTCGTGTGTTTACTCCATCGGAGAATGTGATGGTTTCATCTCTATCTGGAACATTGACTTGGATGTGGAGGTGCTCATATGATGTGAAGGTGTTTTAGATAGGATCGTACTGCTACGTTGAAGCATTTTAGGCATAGGCCGAGAACTCTACTCGTTTACTTTTATTGAAATACTTTTTTTTTGTTTTTGGAAACTGCTAGGGGTGGGATAATTAAAAGTCCCACGGCACCCAAATGTTCATTTCATCGTTCGCTTCGCGCTAGACGCCCACGCCTCCCAGCATCATGTATCATGTCAGAATTCCTTGAGACAAGAGACACCAGACATGGACAGAAGACAGCAGACAGTGCTTATGACACCAGTCTGGTTTAATCTGATCAATCTGGTATCCGCAGACTCTCAGAACTCAAAAATTCCCTCAGACCTCCACCCGGTTTGTCAGGTCAACATTACATACAAGATAAAGTGAAAAGAGGAAGAAAGGAAAAGAAACCAGACGATTGGGTAAAGGGTACGCGGTTCGCACCCTTTATCCCGTGCGAACAAAACCAGAGGGAGGAAGAAAGAAAGGAAGAAGCAAGAGGAAATGGACTGCCACATTTGTCCGTGTTTTGTTCAAACATTAAACAATCAATCAGAACGAATATGCAAAGCGGCCGGTCGGAGGGCACCGGGCAGCATTTGAAGACATCTCTCTCAATATAGCAACGGTAGATGTGCGCGGGCGTGGGAGTATATGTACAGACAATGTAGAATGTATGTCAATGATTTCTAGGACGTCACAAATTCCAGGCAGCGAGGTCTTGGAAGAAATCAAAGTAGCAGAAGCAAACGTGATGGGGTGATATACAACGACTTCGTAGTATAGGGAAGCGTCGAAGTGGTGGGAAGTTGTGTGGGGAGGAGAAAGTAGTCCAAAGAGATAGAAGTGGTGTGATAGATGGGAGGAGGGAGTGAAGGTAGCGGATCGCATCAGTTTGAGGGTTGTGGAGGATCAACAGGCTTCGGTGCCGGTGCTGGCTTCATTTTCCCAATAACGAGACCTTCATCTTCCGACTCATCTTCGTCTTCGTCATCGCAGTAGTACCTCGACTCGTCTTCTTCAGACGGCCGGAGCGAACCAGAGCGAGGAGGTTTGACGGTTTCACCAGTGCGGAGTATGGAGGGAACTTCTTCCACATCCTTGTCCCTTGAGTAGAGCCCATCGCCTGAAAGCGAAGAGGCATTCGACACAACGGAAGGGATGCTCGGGTGAGAAGCACTCTGCGACATGCCGCTGGTGAAGTCATCGGCCGAAGAGGAAGATATCGTAGGGGGTTTAGAGTTTGTGAGTCCGCTATTGGGATTATCTGTAGGACACCCAGAGTCCGCAGGCGGCGCCATAGGAGGTAGGAGGAGCGATTCGGTAGAGTACATCGCGTAATCGACTCTTAGGGTGCCACCCTCATTTGCGTCAATGTCGCTTCTCCTACGGCGCATGAGTGCCTCCTTCGTAAGATGGAAGGATTCCGCGGACGATTTGCCCGCAAGCTGCTGAGACCGGTTGCGTCGGTGTGCAGATCCAGGATTCAGCTTCTCTGGGGTGGGATGTTCTTCATCATGCCACAAACCGGTTGTCCGAACTTGGCCCTGTGCGGATGCATTGCTGACAGCGATGCTAGGCTCAGAGCGTTGCTCTTCGTTATGAGATCCTGGCTCGCCAGATGGGGATGTGCGTCGACTGCGACTACCGCGTGATGCCCGTCGGGCTGCGCCACTGAAAAGACTACCGAAGTTGGTAGACCCCAGTGCTTCGATGATGGAAGAGCGCGCATCCGACCGTGGCCGAACAGTCAAGGGAATATCAAAACTCGATGGCTTGACGGTCTTGGTGGATTCCGCCGTAGACATAGAAGACTTTGCGCGCCGAGGAGGGGCAGGTCGTGGTGTCACAGCTGGAGGCGGGGCAGCCTTGAGCGCAGGTGTCTGCACGGTATCGAAATAAGACGCCCAATCACCTTCATCCACTGGGCTAGCAGTAACGCTCTGAGCAAGGGGATGTCCTTGGGTGCCAAACTTAAGCGGCCGGAAGAAATCTTCGTCTCCCCGCAGACTGGTCGGGCGACTGTCGCGAGAGCCTTTACCGAAGGTGCTGTTACTCGAGGCGGAGGAAAGAGTCTCGGTAGAGGGCGTCGTGCTCGATGTGCGCTTGCGAGGTTCCTTGTCCTTTGATCGACCGCCAAACCATTTGGCGACATTAGATCGAACACGTTGAATGAAAGGAACCTTGCTGACGGCACTGGTGACTTCCTCATTCGAAACCTCAATACGTTTGCCCTTGCTTTGGAAGGCGGGGTCAGTTTCTTCAATCCAGATCCGAGGGTTAGGAAGACCGTGGAGGGTCCAAGGGTGGTGCTTGATTTCCTTGATCGTGATCCGCTTGACGGGATCCTTGGTCAACAGGCGTCTAAGTAAATCGTAGAGCTCATCCTCAATGTCCTCATAAACAAGCTCATCACTGTTCCTCAAGTTCCATTGGTTAGAGTCAGAAGAGTCGTCTATCACGGGCACAAGGCGCTTCCGTGGAATAAACACCTCCTTCTTCACAATGGTCTGGAACATGCTGTACTCATCGTCCGAGACAAACGGTAGACGGCCAAAGATCATTCCATATAACGTAACACCCAAAGACCAAACATCTATCGCGCCGGTGATCTTGGGGATCGACCCAATGGTCTCGACAAAGTCATCGCCAGTATAGCATAACTCGGGTGCGTAGAAGGCAGGTGTGCCGACTGTCTTGGAGAGCTCACGAGCATCATCCAGTTCCGCGGCATCGGTTTCGCCAACCTGCTCTTCTTCTTCATCACGCATTGGACGACCCAAGTATGAAACACCGAAATCGGAGATCTTCACCCGATGATTACTGGTAACAAGCAGGTTGGCGGGCTTGATATCACGGTGAATGATACCCTGGTAGTGAAGATATTCCAAACCAAGAACCGAGTCACGGAAGGCACTGCGAGTTTCAGCGATGGTCAGACATGGGACGAATGCCATGTCATCGCCCTCGGCAGACCATTCAGGTTCAGAAGGAGCGTAACCAAAGCTACTCGAGGCTGTGCTGAAACGGCGCTCGAATGGGTAATCCGAGTAGGCACCATACATGGTGCCCTCGACTGCGTTTGAAGATGCATCCTGGGCAGAAGATGGACTTGAGTCATCCGTTACTGCGACAGAACGACGACTAGACGACCTTCTGATCATCAAGCCACCAGCTTCATCTTCCTCCTCGTCCGAAGACTCCGCACCATGCTCCAAACTCCACGCAGGAATAGGCCCCTGCTGAGCATCGGCAGCCTGTGCCTCAACTCGCTCACGAGCCCGTTCACGTTGCCTTCGCAGATGCTGCGCAGTTCGGATGAATTGATGGCTCTCTTCCAGGAACGCGGGAGTGTCAGGAATTCCATTCTTCTCCCGCTCGAGGCGTAGTTTGTCGACATGAACGATCTCTCGCAGACCCTTCTTGCGCCATAAGATCTCGCCGTTTTCGACATACTCCAGCACAATGTACACTTTTTGTCGATTCGGATCGTCGATGACCTCGAGCAAACTGACCACGTTCGGGTGCCGCGCCTTCTTTAGAATAGCCACCTCCTTTTTCACTTTGTCTTCCGGGTTGCCAAGTTTGCCTAATCGACGTCGGGTGGAGTATCGCTGAACAATCTTGATAGCGACCTTCTGCTTGGTCGTGACGTGCTGGCCGAGTTTCACTTTGCCATGTTCACCTCGTCCCAGCTCCTCGAGGATCTCGTATTGATTAATGGTTTTATTTCCAGTGATAATATCGCGATCCACTTCAGCGGTGTGGGTTTCTTTGGGCGGATTAAGATGTGTTGGGTGGAGGTATGTGCTACCCAAACTCTCATCGTCGGAGCCCGAGGGTGATTTCAAATGAGGATGTCTCATAGAGAACAGCCCGGGGCTCGAAATCGGAGTATTGCCCGCGGTACGCACGCCACGGGCGTAGGAATGCCGGGGCAGCGGATCGGGTTGGAAGAGGTGGGGTGCTCGCCAGTTCGGGTGTATCTGAGACTGAAGCGAGGCATACGATTGATCCGGGTATACCGGTAATTCGTGATCGGATTGTCGAGATGCCCGGCGGGGGCTGCGTCCAATGCTTCCATTTTCCGATCGGACATCGACGACCGTGTCTTCGTTGAGGGCTTGTAGCGAACTCGAGGACGAGCGATTCGACGGGGTTCGAGCGCCATAGATGCTGGGAAAAGCCTGGCGAAAGGTCGCCTGTGCCTCTGATACATCGGTGATGATGGGCGGTTTGGCAGAGGATTTGGACGGGGTCGGGCGAGACTCGAGTTCGTTTGACGCAGATGGTGCTTGTAATGACTCCTCGGACCGATTCCTATCCTGCTTGGTATCTCCCGAGACATGTCCATTCCGAGCATGAGCCTGATCCTCCAGACCAGCTTGCGAGGACCTTATTTCCGTCATGTTCTTTTTTTCGAGGGTTTTGTTAATCCGAAAGAACTAGGGAATCGAGCCAACTGTGCCGTGAGTGCAGTTGAGCATCCTAGTTCAGCATCCTCCAATGCCACACTTGGTCAAATTGGTTCAAGACGAGCTGACGAGAAGCTCTGTTGGCACGCCCGAATGGACCGGCATTACTTGCAAGGGGATGGCGACAACTAGAGACGGTGTACCGGACGGGTTGTCGCCTACGAAGAAAGGAGGACACGAAGTAGACCGGCTACTGCACGAGGTTTCGGATCACACCCACACGTGGATCAGAAAAGGAGTGCGATGCTATAAATATTTCGAAGGGGGGAGGGGGTGTGTAGGGTCGGAGAGTCGGAGAGAGGGGGTGGAGCGAGATCGGAGGGGATCCGAAAGGAATGTCCAAAGGAAAGAAAAATAACAGAAAGAAAATGAAGGTCGAAGGTAGAGACCGAGACCGAGGAGGGGGAGAAGTGAAAGAGTCGAAGGGGAGGTTGGGTGGGTAATAGGACAGAGCGATGATCGGATGCCAAGGGGAAAATTATGACCAAGGCAATGTACGGAGTAGAGGACTTCTTTTTTCTTTTTTATTTAAACATTATAATTTAAGGGTTTCCGGCCCGTCAGCGTTAACTGATTTCTATTAAGATGGTCTCCAATATCTTCTTCTAGACGAGTACATACAGTATAACCCTCGAGCCCTGTCATCTCCTAGTGGCGGATCGCCACAGAGAATTACGTCGGCGACTCGAGCACAGCCATCCCAGCTATAGTGAAACTCCCGTGGATAGGACTCAACTCTGATGACAGGTGGATAACCAGCCGTCCTCCCGTCCAGTCTAGAGCTATGAAACCGAATACAGTCAACGGTCACGTCGGCCGACCATGGTTGCCCAGCTTACTATATTACATACCGGCTCCGAAGGTTTACTTTGAATGATCCGTACATATCAGACTTGATTATCTCAAGCCCAAACCTAACTTCTGCCACCCGAACTACCCTGAGGGGATCCTACGCAGCTGCGGTAGACTGTGATAGGCTGGAAGGGGCTGCACAAAGTTTTTGCCTGGGCATGGCAGGCGAGCCAGGGGTATGCAGGTATGGTAATTTGTAGCCGAGGCATAGTCCGGACATCGTATTAGTTGTTATCCATGGATGTATATATGAACATTCCTCATTTCTCAGATAGACATACAGTATACAGGTAATAGAGTGAAGAGGAAAGGTGTCTGGAAGCAACCGTGCACGGTCCACTACGTCATGTCGGGTCTGGCCCCTAATTAGCCATCTTTATGTTTTGGGCTTAGCGTCCCAAGTACTTGGCGCTTTCTCTCCGAGTTGATGAGCTGATTGGAAGGAACTTGACAAGCGGGAGGTAATTAACTTGATATCCATCCATGGATGGGATACATATCCAATCCTCCCATCTCCCATCTATGGAGTACATGGACTTGCGGGGGTTGTTAGAGCAGGGGTTCTGGTATTCCCTCTAAAACTAGCGTTATACTAGTAGAGCTAACAGATATCCCCCCGCAGTGGAAGTTCGGCCCTCCATCCGACACGACACCCAGCATAACCACCAAGCCAAGACCAATGCAAGCAAACAAAAGAATAACAGTCAACGTGGTTGGTCACAGCACATCAATAACAACATTATTTATTCATGCCAATCAATTAATTCCATGTATACAGTCAAGACGCATGCACCTTCACGCAAGCGCCTCCTGCGCAAGAGCAGGAGATCAAAGCACACGAGAACCATTCTTTTCTCTCCCGCGCTAATATAAAATTGCACCCATACCCTTCGAGGGAAATGCCCGTGTTGATCCTGCGGTGTGACACAAGCGGCGAGTTGTTTCCTCCAGGGCGTTGGCTGTCATCCCGTCCCGGCTCGTTGGGCGTGTGCCACCCTTGGTTCCTTATTACTCTGTGTTAACGTCGAGTTCGGTTTCAAATTTCCTGGTGCATGTGCACGGTGCTTGTGTGCAGGAACGTGCTTGGATGCTTGAACAGGGTATTGTGTAGAATAGAGTGGAATGGGTTGATGTCGAGAGTAGGGATTGTGGATGTGGTCTACTGTACTCCGGACTTGTAGATTGTTTGTGAATCTCACGATCTACTCGTAGAGGGATTTTATGCTGGCGGGTTTTATTTTCCACATGTGATTGTTGTCTAAGTTCACACTGTGGCGATTATTTTGAATGCCATTGTACCTGTACAGTACATCGTGAAGAGCATGTACTTTACTAAACAAGGCCAAAGTTGCCTGTCATCGATTTTGTCTACTACACTAGAAATCAGAGTGGCTGTGAAGGCGATAAAGTTTTTATTTGCAGGTTGCTTTTTCCTTTGCCTTGTGCCTATGCTTATTCGGTACCCCTATCCGAAAGCCGACTGCAGCATATTAGATGGGCTCATAGAGGCAGGTATTCAGGCTGAGAAAATTTCTTCCATGCAGCTAGGATACTGTGCCGTGCTGGTGCATCAGCTCATGGGCACAACTAGGCATACTGCATAATTGACAATACTGCACCTGGACAATTAGGGGTAAGCGCCGGATCTGACATGCATGGCCAGGTACCTCGAGTACTTTAGAGAAAGTTATACGGGATGTGACATTGACAGTAATCGTGGCAAAGGCAGCCCAGCACATGGGCTAGGAGATGGAGCTATCTTTTTAAAGCGATTGGTCAGTTGGTATGGTGGCTTCGGATCCTTTGAGGCGTTGAGTGTTGAATGTTGAATTGAAGAGAAGAACGTATTGGTCCGGATTGCTGGAATAATCTCGTCTGTTTATTTGTTTAAGTTAACCCCTAATAGGGAGTCTTGCAGCGTCGTCTACCAACTTGTCTAGTCTACCAGCCGTGCCGTCCACATTAGGAATGAACCCCAATCCATGCTCTCCTGGTTATCCAATTTATGTTTTCAGCGCTATATTGTACTTCCTTCTTTACTTTCTATCTTACATCTGCTTATCCATCTCCTTTTTATCCATTTTTCAATAATGTGAAGCAAGGATAGTACTATCAGCAGCCGCCTAAGTATTGAAGAATCCATATTATTGTAGAGAAGCAGGCAAGGGTACAAATTATAAAAGTTTTCATTGTTATCTATCTGTTAGATTGGGCGCGAAAAGGATGTATATGCCTGCCTAGTACCTTTGATAAATGGAAGTGAAAAGGTCTGGAATGGAAAGCTTGTCTGATATATGGAAGCTATACTAGGTGTTGAGACCTATATAAAGCCTCACTACATACGTAAATTCTACCTGCTTTGCACTTCCTCTTATATTTTCTCTTCAATTGTGATATCACGCGAGACGAACAGTCGCTTTTGTATAGGGGACTTGAACTTCAGGTACTTTATCTTATGATACACTTATCTGACCAGGAACTCTGAGCTAACATGTGTAGCCCTTGGGTTTAACATATTCTGCATGCCGGCTCCAGATCCAGGATAGGGGGATCCCAGAGGCATGCGCACAGCCTGGGTCCAGATGGGTTGACACCCTTAAAAGTCACCGTCACCATAATACATCTGTTGGCTCCATACCACGTCCGTGAGGCCGGTCTGCTGGGGTGATCTATACTCACTCATTGCCATGAGAGTGTACCCTCCGGTCAACACTTTCGACGTCTATTTGAAGGTTCACCGTGGCGTATGGAAGCTTGTTAGCACCGTCAAGGAGACCGCGGTATGTGGTGTTCCCCCGGTTCCCCTTGCTAGGCCTATTACAGTTTTGCGAAGTTTTCTGCTAAGTTGTGGTGGTTTCCCATTTCCGGGCAGCCCGGTTGGCTTACCAGGCTCAGATCGCGCAAGTCTAGTTCACACTTCGTCCCCTACCGCTGCCCTCCTTGGACCAGTTGGTTCCCTATTGTTCCCAGAGCTGCGTCAGGCTTGGGAGGAGCGGGCCTAGCCACCGCGGGTCTGGCCATTTTGGAATTCATCGACGCCATGTTGCAGGAGGCCGAAGAGCAGCCGGGGAACCGAGGTGTCGGGCACACTACTATCGGGGGTTGAAGTGGATGCTGGCCATGAGAAGGACCTGCTTTACAGTATTTCCCTGTTCAGTATCACATTGTCTAAATGGTGGTTGCGGCCAGGTTCCTCTTTTAATGCAGCATATTTTCCTGCCATGCAGTGCCATAGCAACATTTACTTGTTTTCCATACTTTTCCTAGTCTATGCCAGCCATAGCACCTATGCACCTAAGCTAAATTTAGTCGGCTTTAGAGAACTAGAGAGGGCTCATAATGCAACCTCGTATGATTAGTTTATCAGATGGCGTTGCTCTAGCCATTCAAGCGTCTATTGCAACGTGGAGAATAGAGTGGCAGCAAAGCCTTGGTTGGGTTGTCCGGCCAACTTATTTAGGGGCGCAAGAGTCCATGGTTCGTGATATGTAGAGGTTCCACTGAGATCTTCAAGGAGACGGGATGTTGGATGTAAGGGGGTAGAATAGAATATAGAGGATAAAAGTGAAGATATTCACAGTTAAGTCGAAGACGGTGAAACTTATCAGCTACCCGAGCCCACCAGATTGTTCAAATGGTCCATAAACGGTCACTAGACAACTAAACAGGATTCACAGAGCTGAATACATTAAATGTGGCGTGGAAACACGCAATGCTCACCCGCCAAGCGTCACTGGCCGGCTCGTTGCTGGGCAACAGAGTGTTGATCTGGCGATCTAGCTCTCGGCAATACATTAGGCTCCCTCTTTCTTTGTTTAGCGCAATCGAATAAAGTAGGCAATTCCTGTGATCCGTAGTGATTGGTCTAGTAATATACACAGTATGGCGAGGCCCGGATCGGCAGTTGTTTACTGTAGACTCTGTAGACATGATGCAAACACTTGTCTTCATCTTCTCTCTCTCCTTGTACAATTGTGATTTCTCAAATTTTCCGATCATTTGGAATAGACATCTGCTCTTACATTTGCTCCTTCTGTGTCAATCGCGTGGCGCGCCATGCTCGCCGATCCTGGCATGTATCCCTATCTTTGATTGTCTCAGATCGCAAACAACGGCGTCATGGAGAGCTCCAGGGCGAGCTATCCACTCGCACTAGGTGTGCTGTTCGCCCTTTTCAACCCATCCACTGCTATCTACAATCCATCCTCTGTATTCCTCTCCCCGCAAAATGACTCCCTCGCATATATCCTCCGACCCAGCTCCACTGGCGAAACCGAATTTCTGTCCTTGAACTTGTCCACCAGTGTCAATGCCGACGACCTATCATACCATACTCTGCTCAGTAGCACACCGTTCCACAATACAGGGCAGAACTCAACGTTCATTCCCGCGATCGACGATGAGGGGTCCATAACCGTCTATGCCGGTAACTGTCACAGCACATCCGATAGCCTGGCACTATGGCAGTTCCACCCAAACAGCAACAGCCCAATTGGCAACGGGACATGGGACAAGTTGGCAGTTCAAACGAGCGACGTTCAGACTGCCCCAAACTACCTCGCAGCGGGGTTCACATACTCCTCATCCGGCCGTTCAAATGAGACCGCCATGTACGCCTTTGGAGGATTGTGTCCATTCGCAAACAGCACAGACCAGGCTTGGATATCGGCAGCAAATTACTCTCAGTCGATGGTGACTTTAAGCCCGAGTCCCTACTACAGCAACAAGTACAGCGCAGCCACCACAGGGAAGCGCGCACCACCGGTCGCAGAAGCGGGCATGGCCGTCGTGCCGCTTCAGGCTACCTATTCAGCCGATTCAACCGGGAAACAGCAGGATTTTCTTTTCGTTGGTGGCCATACCAGACATGCGTTCCTCAACATGTCGACGCTTGCTATTTTCTCGCTGCCGCAGCAGAGTTGGAGCTTCATTTCGACCTCGGACAAGACACCAAAGACTGAACTGGCTATTCGAGATACGGCCTCTGTAGAACCCCGGTCTGGTCATACAGCAACTCTCTCGGAAGATGGAAAGAAGGTGTTTGTGCTTGGTGGCTGGGTGGGCGATACGACTGTCCCTGCTGAACCGCAATTTGCAGTTTTGGAAATCAAAGAAGGGTTCGGTGGAGCCACAGAGTGGATTTGGACGACTCCTTCTTCTGAAGGAAAGGGTATCACCGAGGGTGCTGGCATCTTTGGGCATGGAGCCGCAATGCTACCAGGAGATGTGATGATGATTTTTGGAGGATACACCATTCCAAAACAATCATCAAAACGGGCTGCATCGACTGCGAACTCGCAATTCTACCTCTATAACGTAACATCAAATAGTTGGGTTACGTCCTACAGCAACCCTGCAGCCAGTTTCTCTACATCCTCGTTGAGTCACAATGCCAGTCTTTCCAAGGGCCAAAAGGCTGGCCTTGGAGTCGGTCTGGGTATCGGATGCCCTGCTGCTTTGGCCCTTGTATTATGTGCATGGAATTACCATCGAAAACGACGTGTACGCGGAAAGCGAGACTCACAGCTTCGCGAGTTGGCTCTTGGAGCGGAACGAGCTCACTTCTGGGGTCGAGATGACCCTAACCAGGCAAGCAGCATTCGAAGCTCTGGAATGAGCGAGAAAAGAGATTCTTCTGCCTACCCTTGGTCTGCAAACCGCAATGCAGCCACACGGCCCAACTGGAACGACCAGGGCGAAGGCACGGCAGAGAGAACTGGGCTACTCATGGATCCTCCCAGTCCAGTCAAGAACAACCGAGCTCCTGTACCTGTGAATACGAGACCGTGGTCATATCGTATATCTGGGCACAGTGAATTCCGACGCAGTGATGCTACCAGCGAGATCCACCCTATCGATGAGCGCGAGGAGGATGAAGCTATCTTCAGAGAACGCCTGATGGCAACCATTCCCGCTGGAAATGGAGCCACAAAAACTGCGGAGCCCGAGCCTGAAGACCCATTTTCGGATACTCCCTACGCAACTCCTCGAAGCACCATCTTCGGCGTTGGCCTGGGTCCATTCTACAGCCGACGAAAGGATATTGGATCCGTTGATCCCGGGTCTCCAACCAAGAGCGAACGAACGCAAACCAGCCTATCCGATGCCTCAGCTTTCTCCTTCGCCTCTTCTCAACCAGTAGGCAAAGTATTAACAGCACGAGCCATGGTTGTTGACAGACCCGTGAGCTGGGCAAGCAGCGGCCGTCAATCCCTCGAAAATCTCGCCGCAGCCTCAACACATAGTGACCCTGACAACACTGCCCCATCTGAGAAGTCAGCCTCAGCGGACTCTTACTCAACAGCACAGACAACCATGTCTCAACGCCAAGCAGAGAATGACTCCCTTCTCTTCGACGCCCTCGACCCAGTCAACCCATTCGAATCATCTTCCCCTTCAAAACTCCGCCGAGATTCTAGACCCAGACCCTCAGAATGGGTTATGCAAACAATGCGCCGAGCTCTAACAATGACCCGCGGCGGCTCGCCATCCCAGCGAGACTCTCACAAGACAGCCCCGCTGGCATCTGGCATCGACCGCCGCAGCACAGTCATCGGCTCAGGCCAACTGTCTCCTATAACAGGATCGGGACCAGGCACTCCCCGCCGAGCAGTCAGCGCATCCGCCGAACTCTTCCGCCGCAAACAAGGCGCCAAGGACTGGAATGCACGCAAACGCGTCTCAGACGACGTCTTCAATACGGCTCGCTCTACACGCGATGATCTTTTCATCGGTGCGCCGGGGTATCTGGGCAATGAGGATGCATTTGTCGATGATGAGGCTGATGTGCATGATTGGGATGTTGAAGGCGCTGCTGAGGGTCGGCGCGTGCAGATAACTTATACCGTTCCTCGGGAAAAGTTGCGCGTTGTTAATGCTACTGCCGGTGATATGGATGCTATCTCCGAGCAGTCCATTAGTCGTGCGACTGGGAATCGGAGATTGAGCACTTAAGTTGGCCGGTGTGTCTGTTTTGATTGATATTTTCTTCTTGTCTTGTACTTTTGCATACCCTTTTGAATGATGATGATGATGATGACGATGCAGATGGTGGCTTGGTATCTACTTCTTGTGAAGATACCAGATGAAGGGCGTAGGAGAAGGGAGCTTGAACTTGTATTCACGATGCTCTATTTGTGTCTTCAGGGATTCGATCGAGTTATGTCCATGTCCGTCCATGTCCATGCTGTTCTGATGATTATCTTCCAATCAGATTCAGATTCAGATTTAGTACAGACTGGCATGACTACTCTTGACCCCTCGCATGGAGTTGAGTCGCGCATTTTGGGAGGGATGTTGCTGTTTTCTGTCGTTTTGATATCCACAGCGTGTTTTGATGTTGCGTTCTGACCCTGGACGACTGATGAATCCATGTCCCTGGCGCTTTGTTAGATTATTTCTTAGCTGAGAGAGTCAACAATTGATCCTTGATTTTTTTTTTTTTTTTTTTTTTTTTTTTTTTTCGTCCGCCTATATCTATGGTATCTCTAAAATGTATGTACAATCACATCGCCCATGTGTACTGCAGGTTCTTGGGAAAATCTTACCCTCTTAAAAGAGCTAACTCCCAACACTTTTTAGGCTATTTGTTTGGCCATCTTCTCGCAGGGTTTAAAATCCAATGCTGTACAATATAAAGTTTGTTGGGCAGAAAAATCTGCCCTCTGTTTAGACTTAGACTTAAGGGGTAAGATGTCTCCACTATAGATCTAGAGTGGGGCGCACAAATGAACTCATATCTAGATTTGATATATTGGCGTACGGAGTACTGTATATCGGGTAGAAACATTCAGAAGATCCCGGAATCTTGCTTTTGCGCGTAAACATGTTCTTGCAATCCCGAAAACTAGTCGAACCGAAATCCGAGAAACATCTATCAAACTTCATAGCTCCATGATACATCATATGAGACAAGACCCCCTATGACGTTGGTATAACTTTTCCTTTATATAATTGTTCATTTCCATTACCCCTTAAGAAGAAGCAGCAGCCTTGGGGTCGCTGGCAGGCTTGGTGGGAATAGTGCTAGGAAGCTGCGGGAGCAGGTTCTTCGCGTTCTCACGAGCATACTGGGCCATGAGGGCATCAATGATAACAAGGGAAGACATAGCCTCGACGATGGGGACAGCACGGGGAGTAACGCAGGGGTCGTGACGACCCTTGGCCTCAAGGGTACCCTCCTCTAGACCGTAGGAGGCAGTTGTCTGAGCCTGGCCGATGGTGGCAGCGGGTTTGAAAGCAACGCGGAAGTAGATGTTGGCACCGTTGGAGATACCACCCTGGATACCGCCGGAGTTGTTGGTCTTGGTGGTCAGGCGGGGGGCGCCGGCGGAAGCCTGCGACACGACGAAGGGGTCGTTGTGGATGGAGCCGGGCACCTCGCAGCCGCCGAAGCCGGAGCCGATCTCGAAGCCCTTGGTGGCGGGGATGCTGAGCATGGCGTGGGCGAGCTTGGCTTCCAGCTTGTCGAAGCAGGGCTCGCCTAGGCCGACGGGCACGTTGCGGATCACACATGTTACTGTTCCGCCAATGCTGTCGTGGTTGTCGCGGTACTTCTCAATGACCTTGGTCATGCGCTCGGCAGCGGCTTCGTTCGGGCAGCGGGTGGGCGCGAACGAGTCCACAGTCTTGCGGTCGATTGTCTCGATCATCTTGAGGAACTCGGGGTTGGTGGAGGCAGAGGGGTGTTCGGGGGTAGGGGGGAAGAGGTGCTCGTTGCCGACAGAGGAGACGAAGGCGACGATTTCGACGTTATGCGACAGGCTGAGGTACTTCTCGGCGATGGCGCCGGCGGCGACACGGCCTGGGGATTGGTGTTAGTGGGGTGTGTTGTATATAGTGTACGAGTCTGACATACCAATGGTCTCACGGGCACTGCTGCGACCACCACCGCTGCTCGCCTTGACACCGTACTTCTCGAGGTAGGTGAAGTCGGCATGGCTGGGGCGGGGGAACAAGTCCATTGTGCTGCCGCCGTAGTCCTTGGGGCGCTGGTCCTCATTGCGGACCATCATGCCAATTGGTGTGCCTAGAGTGACTCCGAACTCTGTACCAGACTGGATCTCGACTCGGTCCTTCTCGTCCCGCGGGGTAGTGAGGGCGCTCTGACCGGGACGACGGCGGGTCATCTGGGGCTGGATGTCGGCCTCGGTGAGCTCCATGCCAGGAGGGCATCCATCGACAATACAGCCGACAGAGCGGCAGTGAGACTCGCCATAACTAACGGGACATTAGCAACTGGGGATGTGATGTTCAGGGGATCGGATACACCTACGTAGTGACACGGAAATGTTCACCCCACGTCGACATGATGGATGATTTTTGCTGGGAGAGGAAGAGGAGGATTAAAGTGAATAGGTAAATAAGTAAACAAGATGCCACAAAATAGGGAAAAGGAGTAAACCGGAGGACCAGGAGGAGCTGAGTGTCGATCGCAAAAAAAGCGAACACAAATCGACTCATCTTTCCGATCCGGGACTAGCGCAACCGACTATCGGCCTGGTGCTTCGGGTGATAAACACTCATCCACCGACATGTTTCTGCGCTCGCGGGTGAGTGGCCTCAAGTATGCCTGGGTTCGCCATAATTCCTCTGTCCCCGACCAATTCGCAGAGCTCGTCCGTCGTCCCTCTTCTCTGCACCAGATCTACCAATCACTATCGACTGACCCCTACGTGAACCTCTCCATCGAACACTTCCTCCTCGAGAATGCCCCGGCAGAATCAAGCATCCTGTTCCTCTACGCCAATCGACCCTGCGTAGTCATAGGTCGCAACCAGAACCCATGGCTCGAGACAGATCTCCGCGCCCTTCACAATGACCGCTGGAACAGTTCGGCCGGGGACGACGAAGCCGCAATTTTCGTACGTCGGCGATCGGGCGGTGGGGCCGTGTTCCATGATGCAGGAAATCTAAACTACAGCGTCATATCTCCACGTACATCCTTCACGCGCGACAAGCATGCGGAGATGGTGGTGCGCGCACTCCATCGCGTCGGGGCCACCAATACCCGTGTCAATGGGCGTCACGATATTGTCATGGCCCGAGCGGAAGGCATGGAAAATGATCCCAATGAGCCATTGGCACGCAAGATCTCCGGGTCAGCGTTCAAGCTGACTCGACACCGAGCTCTTCATCATGGGACTTGCCTGCTCGATTCCCCGAATATTCATGATCTCGGGCGGTATCTGCGATCGTCCGCGCGCGGGTATATCCAGGCCAAGGGTGTTGAAAGCGTTCGGTCCCCTGTTGGCAATGTGTCGGCTGCTTTTGCCGATTCGTTCTTCTCCATGCAAGGTGTGATTGAGAGTGTGATTGAGGAATTTGCTCGGTTATACGAGGTCCACCCTGATGCTGTAAGACGCGCGCAGCGTGCTCATGCTAATGATCCCGAGATTTTTGCTGGGGATGGCTGGGTTGCGGGTACAGTGAGTGAAGTGCAGGGCGAACAGGAGCCTGACATTAGCAAGGGAATTGCGGAATTGCGGGTGAGTATTTATGGGAATGAGTGTGAGAGTTGCGTATTAACATTGGAATAGTCTTTGGATTGGAAGTATACGCAAACACCACAATTCACCTTCTCGACATACCCCATCGAAGAGGACCCTCGCGAGCGGCCACCATTGCCCTCCTCGCTTCCTTCAAGTGTAAGTTTACAAGACAAATCTTCGATTCAAATCTAACTCCCAGCTTAGACCCGCGCATTCCTCCGCCTAAAACATGGCGCAGTCATTGAAAGCCACATCTCCGTCTCAGCTGACGAGAGCACCGCATCTGACCAAGCCAGTCGCATCCATACCTTACTGGATGGACAAAAGTTACACGAAATCACTCTCGCACGGTGGTCCGAGGTCCTTCAAGAGGGTCTTGGTGAGACAGAAGGGAAAGATGAGGCCCTAGTGAAAGAGCTATCTCGATTCCTGGGTGGACTATTGGGCGGTTAATCATTGCATGTATAGATATACCCATGTACATTATTCTAATACCATGTTCTATACAACCAAGCGCCAAGTGTTGGCTACTCTACTCCATTGGTGGAATATAATTTCCCACTTATGAGATCATCAGTTCTACACGCCTATAAAGATACTCGCCAACTACTGATCTCCCCACATTACCCCGGCTAAATACATCCACCCCACGCCCCCCCAAGATACCCAGGTATGCACATCAACTGCCAATTGGCTGAATCGGCTTTCCTTGCGAAAGATTAACTAGCCGGACCAGCACCCAAATCCCCGATCATATAACGGGCACGACATCTGCCTCTTTCACGTACAATACAATAATAGGAGACTTGCCCGACACCAATCTCTATATAACTCCAACCATCCAATTACCAAACCAAATTAGCACAACCACAGTCAAAATGTCCATCAACGCCAACGCCCGAACCCCCACCCAACCCTTCACAAAATGCACCTTCAAAACAAGATCCGACCTCCAAGCCGCATGCCGCGCAATTCTAGACCCGCTACTCCCCCTCTTCACGCCAGGCGGCAGTCGAGTAAAAGTCGGCACATCGACAACACGCTTCGACGAAGGCGGCGCCCAGATCGAAGGGTATGCACGACCACTCTGGGGTCTGGCGTCGCTGCTTGGAGGTGGATGTGAATACCCCGAGGCGGAGCGCTGGCGTCAGGGTATAATCAACGGGACGGATCCTGAGAGCCCTGAATTCTGGGGCGAGATTGAGGATTTGGACCAGCGCATGGTTGAAATGTGTCCCATTGGGTTTGCGCTTGCTGTTGCGCCGGGGTTCTTTTGGGAGCCGTTGACTGAGATGCAAAGAGGGAATATCGGGAGGTGGTTGGCTAGTATTAATGCTAGGGAGATGCCAAATACGAACTGGTATGTGTGTACTTTTCTTTTCTTTTCTCTCTTGGGGGTTTTGAGGGTGAGACATGGCTGATTATATGGTTGTGATTCTCTAGGTTGTGGTTTCGGGTCTTTGCAAACTTGGGATTGAGGAAGAATGGGGCCGAATACTCTCTTCCTCGCATTGAAGCTGATATGGATCATCTTGATTCCTTCCACGTCGGTGGGGGATGGAGTAATGATGGGCCTAAGAGTCATCATCAGATGGATTATTACTCGGGTTCATTTGCCATTCAGTTCTTGCAGCTTCTTTACTCGAAGTTGGCTGGCGACTTTGATCCTGAGCGTGCTGAGCGCTATCGTCAGCGGGCAAGGGAGTTTGCGAAAGATTTCGTGTATTATTTTGATCCCAATGGTATGTTTACTCTGATTTCCTTCCCAATGATCAGATTCTAATCCAATCTTCAATCTAATAGGTAGCTCCATCCCCTTCGGTCGCTCAATGACGTACCGCTTCGCCATGGTCGGGTTCTGGGGAGCCCTGGGCTTCGCAGATGTCGAGCTACCAGCACCGTTAACCTGGGGCGTCGTGAGGGGAATCCTCCTCCGTCATTTCCGATGGTGGTCGACGCAAGAAGACATGTTCAACAACGACGGCACCCTAAGTCTCGGATACTCGTATGCCAACATGTATCTGACAGAGAACTATAACTCCCCGGGATCGCCATACTGGTGCTGTCTGTCATTCATCCCACTGGCATTACCAGAGACACACCCGTTCTGGACCGCGGAAGAAGAACCATATCCCAGCGCCTCTCTTCCTGAAGTGGTAGCCCTAAAATACCCCAAACACATTGCAATCCGCCGTGGAGGACACTCCTTCCTGCTATCGTCTGGCCAGGCATGCCACTACCCTCTCAAAGCAACGCAGGCCAAGTATGGCAAGTTCGCATACAGTTCTGCATTTGGATACTCCGTTCCAACAGGGTCTTATCAGCTCGAGCAACACGCCCCAGACAGCATGCTGGCGTTATCCGAGGACGGCGGCGATATCTGGCAGACGAGAAGGCTGGCGCTGGATGCACGCTTTGAAGAACCCGAAGGAAATGGCCTACCAATACTCGTGTCTACCTGGAAACCATGGCCAGATGTCGAGGTTGAAACGATTCTCATTCCGCCGACTGTGGAAAATGAGAACTGGCATCTGCGCGCTCATCGCGTGCGCACTGGTCGGGCTTTGCAGACTTCTGAGGGTGCCTTTGCTATTTACGGATGTCGCAGTGATAATGGACGGATCCTGGGTCCTATGGTTGAGGGTGGTTCTGAGGGGACGACGCATGATGACCGGAGTAGTCTGGTGGTTTCATCGGCTGGGGCTGTAGGCATTGTTGAGTTACACTCGGATATTGGACGTGCTGGTCGGATTGTCCTGGCGGATCCAAATTCGAATATTATTCATGGGCGCACGCTTCTGCCATCGCTTGCAATGGACCTAGCACCTGGCCAGGCCTGTTGGTTCGTGTCGGCAATCTGTGCTGTACCCGGTCGACGGCGGGATTGGAAAGCGGCATGGGAGCAGAAGCCGACAATCCCAGGGTGGCTGAAGAAGCGGATGGAGAGTGGGTGAGCGTACATATCCTTTGTCATGCCTTCAATAAAGTCGATTCGCTAGACAAGAGTGAACTCGTAGTAAGATTTCCCTATTGGGGGAGAGTCCAAATTAGCCCTAATTTTGGGTTTTCCCCGCAGTCCGGGGTAAGATTTAGCTCTTAACACGTGACGCTCCTCTGTAACTTGCCGACTACTTTTCTCCCCTCTCGGCTAAACCTCTTTGTTTATTAGCCAATACCACTTCCCCGTGGGGGTACTTCGGCTCATACGACCCTAAACTTTCCCCCACCCTATCTCCACCTATCTGAGAGCTGCATGGAGGTCTTGGACCCTACCCCAGCTCCAAAGTACTCGAGACATGTGAGCAGGTAGTATGCAAGCCGTGCCATTCTGCCTTCGTATTCGTGGATGTTTTACTCCATGCTTGCTCGCCTTGTTTAGCGCCTTCGTTCTCGTCTCATAGGCTGCTCGGTGGTTGGCCAAGACATTGGGCTTGGGATGACACCCTTCCATCGCAGTTCTTTCATATTTATATCAGTTGCCGACAGCATCGTGTCTTTAGTTGTGGGTTGTATTCCTGGGTTTGTCTTAAATTGATCGTTTCCCTGGATTCCTTAGGATTATACTCTACCGACTTGATCTTGTTTACTCTTCAAGATGTCGTGGCTTCTAAAGAAGGTTGTTCATAATGAGGCGATGAAAGAGGATCCTAAGGAGATTTATGGATGGAGGGTTTTCATGCTTGCTTGCTCGGTTAGTATGGCAATTCCTATATGCCGGGGTGCAATACTAATATTACGAAAGGCTTGTTGTGGAGGAATGCTCTTCGGTATGGATTCTGGTATCATTGGCGGCGTCCTTACCATGCCAGGATTCAAGAAGTAATTTTTTTCTCTATCAAACCTCACATCTAGCCTTCTAACCATATCTACTGCAGAACATACGGCTTGGAAAATACCTCCAAAGTTGCACAAGCAAATCTATCAGCCAACATCGTATCAACCCTCCAAGCAGGATGTTTTTTCGGCGCACTAGGCGCCTCCTGGGTAGCCGATAAATTCGGCCGAAAAAGAGCACTCATAGGCTCAGCGATAGTGGCCATCCTCGGAATTGTCATGCAAACCGCAGCCAGTGGTCATCTCGAGCCCATGTACATCGGCCGGTAAGATGCCTCGTCTTCACCCTCCAACCCAGAAATCACCAGTCATCCTCATACTAATACCTTCACACACCAGACTGATCACAGGCTTCGGAGTCGGCGCCGCGTCAATGATCAACCCACTCTACGTTGCCGAGAATGCCCCACGAGCAATCCGCGGCGGTCTGACAGGTCTATACCAGCTCTTCATCACAATGGGCATCATGCTCGCCTTCTGGATCAACTACGGCTCCCTTCTGCACATCAAAGGACCAGCAATGTACCTCGTCCCACTGGCAATGCAAGGCCTGCCAGCAGTACTCCTGCTAATCGGCATGTCGTTCTGTAATGAATCCCCCCGCTGGCTGGCTAGACAAGACAGGTGGGAAGAAGCACGCGCAACTCTCTGCAACGTGCGCAACTTGCCTGCTGGGCATCCCTACCTAGAAGAAGAGTTCCAAGCCATCGCCACCCAACTCGAGCAGGAGCGCGCTCTTGTTGGTGGATCTGGGTTCTGGGATCTTATGAAGGAGATGTGGTTCATTCCTGGGAATAGGAAGCGTGCTATCATCTCTATTGTCTTGATGATTTGCCAGCAGATGACTGGTACTAATGCTATCAACTACTATGCGCCTCAGATTTGTAAGATACCTCTTTCTTTCCCCTGACTTCTGATCGAAAAGGGTGACAATCAAGCTAACTCACAACCTCTACAGTCAAGAACGTGAGCATCCCTACCCCTACCCTGCCTACATCCCCCTCCAAAAACCAAAGATAAAAAAAAAAAAAAACTAACTCTAACCCCAGCTCGGCGTAACGGGCAACGCAACAAACCTCTTCGCAACAGGCGTCTACGGCATCGTGAAAATGATAAGCTGCGGCGTCTTCCTAGTCTTCGTAGCAGACTCCCTCGGCCGCCGCCGTTCCCTCCTCTGGACATCCATCGCACAAGGCCTGGCAATGCTCTACATCGGGCTCTATGTGCGCATTGCACCACCCGTCGAAGGCGCACCAGTCATCCCAGCCGGCTACGTGGCTCTCGTCTGCATTTTCCTGTTTGCGGCTTTCTTCCAGTTTGGTTGGGGGCCCGTTTGTTGGATTTATGTTTCTGAGATCCCGACTGCTAGGCTGCGGTCTTTGAATGTTGCTTTTGGGGCTGCTACGCAGTGGTTGTTTAATTTTGTCGTTGCTAGGGCTGTGCCTAACATGTTGGCTACTGTTGGGGATAATGGTTATGGGTGAGTTTTTTGGGGGTTGATTTTGGGTTCTTTGCTAACTTTTATGTGATTGCAGAACTTATATTATCTTTGCTTGCTTTTGTTTCTCCATGTGTGTCTTTGTTTGGTTCTTTATTCCAGAGACTAAAGGTTGGTTTGGATCTAATGCCTTGGTGGAGTGAATGGTCTTTGCTAACTGTTATATCTATAGGCATGTCCCTTGAGAAGATGGATGAGCTCTTTGGCGTCACTCAGCTCTTCGAAGATAAGACCGCCGACCCGGAGCGGGCTTCTGCTGCAGATGATGTAGGCAAATCTACGCAGACACACGTTGAGAGAGTGGCTTGAGTAGTCACCAGCAATTCAGCCGAAAGGAACGAGTCAAGAATTATTATTGAGATGTATAAGATTCAATCAATTTGTTTCTCCGAATAGTATCCACATTGGTCATCGTTATTTCATAGATATCATCAAAGTAACTCCGAAAAAGATATGTGCAGCAGTCCCACCAAGGGACGACTTGGTCTATCAATACATGACCGTAAAAATGTTCGCCTGCGCTATGAAATCAATATATCCATCCACTTGAATCGAGTCTTGATGACCAGAGATTAGAGGGAAATGAAAAGAGGCCAATGCTGTGACAACATATGAGAGCAGAACAAAGCAAGACAAAGCAAAACAAAAATGAGAGATGCAAGAAAGGATGGACGGATATAAAAGGAACAAATTTTATCGAATGTAGTTGGGCTGGGACCGACCAAGTAGCCCATGCTGGGTCTGGCTCCGCGTCATGCGGCGGGGAGTTGGGTTATCATCCAAGCTCAACCCGCCCATTCCTGATCCCAGTCCATTGCGACGGGGCGAAAACATGGAGCTGTGACCCAAGCTGGGGTTGTGACCATACCGAATGTTCTGGTTGGTCATATTTGTAGCAGTGGTTGTGGCTGTAGCCACAGTCTCGCTGTCTGAATCTTGATCATAATCAGACGGAGGATCGCTTTGCTTCAACGACTCCATGGTAAAGCTATGGGGGTTTCGTTTCGGGGTCTGAGCGGTAGAGAAAGAAGGGACAGTCTGAGATGAAGAGAGCCCATAGTTTGACACAGAAGGCAATGCCGACGAGAAACTAGAGGCAGGTTCGGTAGTGCAAAAGGAAAGCGGCGGCGCGGATGACTGTGACTCGAATGATCGATGCGTAGGCAATGGGGGACTGCTGACTCGAGACTCAGGTGAGGATACGGGTGGCGATCCATTTGAAGGCCATTCGATGGCACCCGGCTGGTTTAATTGCGGTGTTCCCGAATGTGGCGATGCCGATTCCGATGGTGTGTTTCGACTTTCCATTATGGTCGCCGTGTAGAAAGAGCCTACACGCATAGCCTCCTGTATAGCCATAAACATCAAAAGAAGCTTGCCGTAGCGATCAAAGTAGTCTCGGTCAAACGAAGCAGTCGGGAGATGGGCTCCCATATGGACGGCCGCAACAAGCTCCGTGATAGAAATCAGAATCTCCATGCCATTCCACTGCACAAGGGGCCTCTTGACCATGCTGATGAGAGCGAATCCAGCAACAAGACTCGCAACTCCCAGAGCAGCGATCTCCACGTAGTTTCCGGGAATAAACACCTGGTGGTTTTGAGAGAAGGTCCAGGCACTGATAAATCCGACCAACATACCCAGTCGCAGCCATCCATAGAATAGATGACTCGGTGTCTGGACGGGACTTGCAGAATTCTGTTGCGTTTCCTGGGACCACCCAGGTCCAGAAGCATCGGGCTGGAAATTGAAGGCCCTGTCAAACAGTGTTTCCAGTCCAGTAGACGTGTCAAGATCCCCTGGAGCGAAAAATTTGGGTGGCTTGAAGATTGGTTCAGCCTCATCTGACGGTTGCCGGCTGGGAGCTTGTGCTAGAGAAGGGCTGCGATGGAATGGGTTAGGCTGAACCACTTGTTCAATGGGCTTTGTTGAAGGTTGAGCGCGAAGCTTCCACGCCGGAGCCATTGGGGCTGCTGGAACCTGCCCATGGAAGGGATGAGGGCCATTTAGTACAGAGGGCGCGCTCCGCTGGTTGATAGTTGGGCGCAGGTTATGTGTAGTAGACGGAGTCCAATCCATGCTATCTTTCTCCGCAACAGGGATAATTTCTCGCGGCTTCTCCACAGGTGGCTGAGGTGTAGCCAACTTTTCAATTGGGAAACGCTGACTGACTCCACCGTTCGCATTGAAGGCGTTGCGATTGGTGGCTTGGGACGACAGGACAGGAGACTCAGGCAATTCAGAGGACGATTTGGCGCCTTGAAGTTGGGTTTCCCAGCTATTGTCGGACCAATTGACAAGTGGACGACTAGAATATTGGACGATGTATCGGGAGTATGAAAGCGACTACTAAATCAGCGCGGGACACAAAAAAATATCGGTCAAGGCACGTACCAGAAGAATGAAAGCCATCATTAGACCATGCAAGGCCGGAGACATACTAGGATCCAAGCCACTAGCAGATGGGTCCTTGAGAACTGCCCAGAATACACACCGTACGACCAGAACAATGAGTTGGGCCTGATAATACTCCGCAAGGCCCTTGAACTTGCCTGGCATCCCATCTATCTTCAGGCGCAACTTGGGATTCCACCAGAGTGAAAGAGCACCTGCGATCAATGCCACACCTGCAGCCGGTGCTAGATCAATCACACAGTCACTGGGAATACGCCACATAGAAAGAGTCTGTTTGGTACACTGTGAAAAGGCGGGTGCCATGGGCGGTTCGGTATAGATTGGCGAGCCACCGAGGCTCCCCGATGTCTGGTAGAGGGTCATCGCACTGATCAAATCCCATGCAATTTGACCAGCAATACTTGCCCAGTATGCAAGCGCACCAGCATAAAGAAGCAAGCTCCTCCAGCTCCGGTTCCTGACCTGTCGTGCTTCACGGTTCGCGCGGCTCTGATCCATCATGCGTCTGAGATGATCTGACTTGGCTTCGTATCCCGCCTTTCGAATGCGGTTTTTCACACGAGGCTCGCAGGACTCGCAAATCTGGGGATAGCGGTCCTCGAGGCGTTTGCGAAAGTCTGCATAGCCACGTTCGTACTCAGCGTCTGTGGGATCGTCGGAAGGAGGAAAGTATGACGCCAAAGAGCTCGTAAATAGGTGTTGGTTGCGGGTACACTTTGAACAGAATAACGGAGACTCTTTGAGATCGGCGGCTTCGGAGGGTTGACTTGATGCGCCGGGCACATAACCCTCGGCGTTAGTGACAGCAGCTGGCGGATCCGTGATTTCTCCTTTCTATATTCATTTAAGAACGGTGTTTAGCATTGATCGAGCAAATTTGGAGGCTAGACAAGGAACTAACCTCGTCGAGAAAGTTGTCGGCCTCACAGTGTTCACAACGGAAATTGCGAACAGGCCACTGAGAAGCAGACCGCCGCCCACAGTAAAAGCAGGTCAGACGTTTAGTGAATAAAGAAGACATGACATAGTCTGGAAGGGAACGCGAAGTGTGAATGTAAACAAGGGAGGCAGTTGAGATGCCAAAGAGCCTAAGAAAATCAACGGTCGAGCTTGCACGTGCGGGGGACGTGTACCGCGACTCTAACTTGGCCCATTCAGTCATTCTGCTCTGTTGCCTTCAATACATCAATGGGTCATTGTCGCAAGTCGCATTTCCTATTGTCGCTCTCTTTGGTCTTCATGCCACTTATTGTCCGATGATGCATTAACCTCAAGCTTTCGAGCTAGCAGTCCTTACAATAACGAAGATGCATTTCTCTCTTGCACCTGTGTCCTTCTGGGATCTGGCCCTGTGGTTGTCTGTCACAATAGCTGTACTTGGCGCCGTTATTGGTCTCGTGAGTATTCTTCATTAATGCTATCACATTGGTCTAACCTTCTACTCTTAGGTCATATTCCTTTCTCTGGAAATCGCCCACAATAGCCCTGTCCACAAATGCCGCCCAAAAGACTCGCCTGTCCACCTCTTAGTTGTCCTTGGAAGCGGTGGTCATACAGCTGAAATGTTCTACATGCTCTCGCGCATGGATATGAAGAGATTCGCATATCGGACTTACGTCGTGAGCTCCGGAGATAACTTCAGCGCTGGCAAGGCCAAGGAATTTGAGACGGAGAGAGCTTGTTCGGACAACAACTACAACATTGTGACAGTACCTCGTGCCCGAAGAGTTCATCAATCGTACCTGACGGCGCCTTTTACTACACTCCAATGCTTCTGGGCTTGTCTTACTATTCTCTGTGGGCTTCACCCAGACCAGCAACTCCCCGAAAAATACCGCTCTCCTTACCCAGACTTGATTTTGACAAACGGCCCAGCTACAGCTGTTTGTGTAATCCTAGCTGCGAAACTCATCCGCTTTTTGCATTGCGTGTTTGGCTTCAACTTCTTATTGCGAAGCTCTACAACACCACCTGTGTCCAACCTGCGCACCATTTATGTTGAATCTTGGGCTCGGGTCACGAAATTGAGTACCTCTGGCGTCCTACTATTGCCACTAGCCGACTCGTTTCTCGTTCAATGGCCAGCTTTAGCAGGGCGGCGAGCCTGGTGGGGAATGAAGAGAACTAAATACGCAGGGTGGCTTGTGATCTAGGGTTCAGCTTCATGGCCTTTCTGCTCCTGGTATGTCTAGATTAATCTGTTTAGATGCAAAGACTCTATGAACAATCATGTTTATCTTATGAACCGTATAAGAAACGGGATCTTCCGCAACGGATTTCTCTCCACATACCGAATGTGGAGGAGGAATTGTACACTGCGTTCTACGAGTCTACGATTCTAGATTACGGGTTAATGTATAAACTTTAGCTACAATAGAGAGCGTCATGTTTAGCTACAATAGAGAGCGTCATGTGTAAAAATGAAGAAGAATGTATTGAGAACTGTAGCAGATCAGCATTTATGTCCAAAGTTGAAATAGAGTCGATTGATAGAAACCGAACCTTGAATGATGTCTTCCAGAGTGCGCCGCGCATAGATTTCTGCCGTTTCGTAAGCGTCGTCGTAATCAAGTTCATAGCCAGCGCCCTTGATGACTGGGAACGATACATACCATGCGTAACCGCGATGATGGTTGTAGTCCGTTACCATGGCTTCCCTTTGCTGGATCATGTTGATCGCCCTTTCTATTAATTCTTCGTCACTTAGAAAGCTATCGAATTCGTCAAACTGTACAGTAATATAATGAATCATTGCGCCTAGATTAGTTAGACGAAAGTCTTCTGGGCAAACCTGTCCGTCGCGGATAAACATGCCTCTTTGGCTCCACTGGTTCGGGGCCATTTCAATCATGTCGCTATAACTCATGGTGATGGTTTGGTTTCCAATTAGAAGAAATGTTGGGGATCTTGTGGCTATTGCTGTAAAGAACTAGTTCGCTGCGTGTCGATGAGATATCGATACAGGACACTCATATTTGTTAAATACTTTGGGAATTTGAGAATGCATGCTAGTTTTATAAAGTAGGACAGCTCGAATACCTTTTGAACAAAGGTCTTTGCTACAATTGCATTGTGATTCAATTTTGAAGGCTATAACGAGGACAAAGAGAACTATAGATACTTTGATCCCTTTCTATTTCAAAGACATGAAAGAGCCCAATATAGTATCAATGATCCGATGGCCTTGGGCAAGGAAGGAAGAATAAACAGGGATTCAAGTATGAAGTTACTCCCTTCTCCAACTATAGACGCAACATGATATAGAACTGTTTATAGCATACTTCAGGGCCTATATCTGCAAAACTACAACAGCCCAGAGATATAATCAACCGTCGGCAAATGTCATCAAGCATTAGAAAAACAGTCTGAACTGGATCTGCGGGCCACTCGCAATGAAGTCCGCCATAGTTGCCCCGCATCGGCGCATCGGAGTATCCGACGCATCTGCTCCCTCGGCATTTTCTCTCTTTATCTTCTGTTTCTGACTCTTAAAATAATCTCCAAGCCCAATTGTCCAATTTCTTCTAGATAAACTACGCCACCATGCCATACTCTCTATCAGGTCGCAATGTTTTGATCACCGGGGGCTCACGGTATGACCCCGAGCTTTGTTTCTTACAAGCCTACCATGCTGCGTTTAATACCAGAGCTAACACACGATTGAACAGGGGACTAGGTGCTCTTACAGCTGAAAAATTTGCCGCCGAAGGAAGCAACGTTGCTATCAATTACATGTCCAACAAGGAGGCGGCGGATAAATTGGCCGCGGATATTGCAGGCAAGCACAATGTGAAGACTGTTGTTCTTCAGGGTGTATGGCTTTCAATCCCACACATGGCCCTCAATACATGGAGACACAAGCCGCTGACATGGCCATAAATCGGGAATAGGACGCCGGTATCAAGGATGACTGCTTCAATGTCGTTAAGACTACGATTGAGAAGCTGGGTGGCTTGGATATTATCATCTCAAATGCCGTTGGTCATACTTTCAATTGAGAAGAGGGATAATGAAAGCTAATTCGAGAAGGGATGGACTAAAATGACCAACTTCGGCGATCTTGATGCCATGGACGAAGATGATTGGGATAAGGTAAATGGCCCAACACTCATAATGGAACACTGGGGCTGATTATTGAAACAGTGCTGGTCCGTTAACGTGAAGAGCAACTTCCACCTGTTTAAGGCGGCTTTGCCCACTTTCAATGCGAACCCTGAAGGTGGCGCTTTCCTCATCACGTCTTCGATTGCTGTATGTCGCCGAAACCATGCTATATGACCCCGATCAACTCGTGGAACTTATGAGTGCTGACTCGAATTTTAGGGTCTCACGGCAACTGGCAGTAGCTTGCCTTATGCTGTAACCAAAGCGGCTAGTATGTCATGTTCAACTGTATAGTAGACAACGCTGACAAAATCATCTAGCCCTCCATCTTATGAAGTGCCTTGCCAAAACCCAAGGCTCCAAAGTTCGCATCAACGCCGTGCTACCCGGTCTTTTGCTCACCGAATGGGTAAGTGATATTTGGTTTCGTTGGGTATGGATAAGAAGCTCACGGCATTGCAGGGCCAGCGTTTCCCTCAAGAGAAGATCGAGGCCTGGACAAATGCCACAACTCTCAAAAAAGTAGTAAGTAATCCAGATATCTCAAACGGCCGCTTTCATGTTAATGAATCGCTTTATAGCCGGAGGTGGAAGATTGTGCAGATATGTTCATCACACTGGCAAAAAACGCATCCATGACTGGACAGGCAATCACGATTGGTATGGCTCCAAATATTCACCAGTCAAGCTCAAGCTGACATGTCTAGATTCCGGGTTCTCACCATGAGCGTGAAGAAGAGTATCACATCACATTGGATAGATCAAGAAATATAGTACACACAATCGTTCCATACTCATACAAGGGAATTACGGAAGGGAGTAAACTCCGCGCCGTCGTAGTGGAATGCTTGATCGCCGAACATGCGAGCTTTAATAGCAGCCCGTAGTCCCTCAGCATCTTGCTCGCCTTCAACTTTCATGTGATTGATGCGCATCAACTTTCCATCTTTGGTAAAAACGTAGAGCTCCCGTCCTTTCTTTGGTTGGACTGGATAAGGGGCATTCGTAAATGGCAGACCAGGCATGATCGAAAATGAGTTGCATCCTTGAGGCGGGTCGACCTCTTCGATATCAGTAAGGATCAATCGTTTCTGTTGGAATGATGGGGGCGAGCCTTCAGCGTTAGTTGCGGAGAGGGCTGTGCTCCAAAGAGGCCCGATTATCCGGCTGCGTCTGTTGATATTCGCCAGTGTCCAGTTCGCCCAGTCAATGCGCCGGTCCTGTGGTGTGATTTTGGTTGCATGGATCAACTCGCCAGTAGCTTCAGCGGCGCGCCATCCAGCGTCGACGACTGGGGGTACATATAAGCCCTTTTCGATACCATTGACAAGTAATTCCGCTCCTTTCGGCGCAACGAGCCCTAACAACTCGGGGACAGTACAAGAGTCCGGGTTGGGGATGTCAAATCCAGGAGCCGGTGTTTGGGATAGCACTACTCCGTGATCGAAGTTCTTGAGGTGCAAGGTCTGAAGTGTCACGCCGGTGGTGGTCTGACCAGATAGGAGAGTATGGTGTAGTGGTGCGGGACCACGGAAGCTGATTGACCTAGTCAATTTCCAATTTCCCAGTCTTGAGCGATAATAATCACATACTCTGGTAGTAATGATGGGTGTACATTCAGCCCTCCATACTTAGCACTGTTCAATATGCGGGATGGAACAAAAAGGCCGAAGGAGACTGCAATGACCAAGTTTATAGGTCCGTCTGAGAAGGTTGGCGGCTAAAACGGTCAGCGAGAGCTTTATGTAGGCCAGGTGTCCGTAATACCTTCCACCCAGTAAATGTGTCAATCTCATGAACCGGAAGAGAAAGAGCAGTTGCGGCGGCTTTGATCGGTACTATAGGAAATATCGAATCAAAAACCAGGTCACATAGTTCACTTGGATAGCGACTTACCTTCTCGAACCTGCTTCAAACCTCGCCCAACCCTTTTCCCAGGTCGACAGACCACATCGATCGAGGAGATCCGTTCTGGTTGCTTCAATTGATAGGCGCGGAGAGCGTTCAGGGAGGCGATGCTGAAGTCATCGGAGCCGCAAAAGAGAATGCGGAGAGGATCGGAGGTTTTCGTAGTGTAGGACCTAAAGACAAGCCCTCTGAAAACCAAGGGTCGTTTGCAGAGACGTAAGCTCCCTGAAGCCGGTATAGTCCACATAATGCTTCGGCACTCTCGAGTAAGAAGTCGCAAAAGTTGAAGCTCCAACGATATGATCTTATCGATAATACACGTGATGTCAACACCCCAGATCCCACTTCGCAGTCGCTCGTTCCGCAGTCATTCCTGTAATTATTTGTGATCGCTCTCTAGCGCGAGCTGCAGAAGCCGCCTGAAGATGCGATGCCTGAAAACGATCATGACTCGGTGATCCCGGCCCAGCTCGCCTACCTTGCCATCTACAACCCGAACCTCGGACCAACCGACGAGACGATAGCAGATCAGATCGTGTTCTACACCTCGAAGTCAAGCCATGCACGACAGCTCGATAACTCTACAGCAGAGGAGGATGATAACAAAGGGTTTGAGGACGAAAAGAACGAGAGATTGCGCCAGATAGGTCTGGCGCAGGGCATGGTGAACTTTGCTAGGTGGGCATCTCCGCAACTCTGCGAGTGAACAAGTCTAATCGCTTTTCATGCGCAGTAACTTTTCAGATGGAAAGGCACTGGAATATATTGAGACAGACAAATCCCGTGTTATTCTGCTGGAGCTGGAGAAGGACTGGTGGATTGTTGCCGTGAGTAACTGAAATCCAAACCGTGTCGATCTTGAAGCTCATGTTAAGCCAGTCTATCGATTTTACTCGACTTCCCGCTGATCCAGCTCATAAGCCTTCTTCGGGGGCATCTGATTCTCCGGCTTTCCAATATTCATCGCGAGAAATGGGACCGCCCCATCTACTTGTCCAGCAATTACGCCGCGCCCATTCGATATTCCTTCTACACCATGACTTCATGTTGGACGATTTGTACAAACAAGCTGGTAGAGCTTCCTTTTGCCTCTTTCTTGAACGGTTTTGGGACAAGTTTGCATGGAACTGGGAACTTCTGTTGACCGGAAACCCAATCGTCGAAATGTATAACGGCATCAAACTCTCTGCTGGAGGAGAGTTGGGTATTGGAGTTGGGGAAGAAGAATGGGGAAGCGGAGAAAGAGAAGTACTCGAAGACTTTGTTACCAGAACAGAGGGCTTAGTGGACTTGGTTGTCTCCAGATTTGGCGACTCGCCTGTACAATTTAATGGGTCTCCGGCTTCGACCAGGTCAAATGACCAAGGACTATGGCTTGGGGCAGACAATGACCCTCGACCATCCGATGGCGTTATATTCGCTGGTGTCGGTGGTCTTTCCAGACTCTCGCTGGCACAGGTGTCACAGTGGATGGAGTGGATCTATCGATTTGGGGATGCTACGTATGGAGTTGGGCGGGACCCAACTTCGCTGCGTCGCCGCAAGCCAAAAAAGCAGCGCGGGAGGCCACCTCCAGAGAACCAGCCCTCCACACCGGATCGCAGTTTTACGCCGGGTATACCTCGTCCGCTTATAATGGCAACACCACAGCCACTTCAAGAGGTACCCGAAGGGAACGAGGCGGAAGTTGAAATTGGCAAGAATGAGAATCCAGGGTTTCCCACGGAAACGGTCATGAAGTACCTCACTCTTGGATATGGTTCTGCATGGAGTTTCTCCCCAAAATCAGCAACATCTACGCCTCCTCGCAGCTCTACTCCTGGGCAGGGTGGAGCCACTTCGAGCACCTCAACCCCGAAGGACCATTCCAGTGCCAACCCATCTCAGGCTGATGTGAAACCTCGAAGCATTCCTTCTGGCCGTTTTGTTCTGGGACCTCGAGATGATCTAGAGACATTGGATGACCTGGAAGAAGGAAGTCCTGTTTCAGAAACCGAAAATGGCAAGCCCAAAACTCGAATAGTACAGAGAACTCTGCACGTACATCTGGCAAATGGATCAGATAAGACCCAAAAGAAGCTTCAAGCTGTGATCTACGTGGTAAGTGTTCCAACACCAGAATCATTGCAGTTCACTAACATATCGCATTAGAACCAACCATTCCTGTTCACATTCCTCTTCGACCCTGAAACCCAATCTCTCTCATCCCCATCTCTCTACTCAAGCATGCACCACCAACTAGGTCCCCTCCAAAAGCCACTCCTTTCATCAACATCCCCAAAAATGGCTGCCTCCCGCATCTCCATGTCAGAGACCTCTCCAGATCCAAGCAAACACTTCTCGACAAGATCCCAACCAGTCTACGATCTGGTCTACGATCCATCAAACCTAACAATCCGCTCGTCAATCCCAAACATCCCAGCCCTAAACATCCCCCAGTCCCCCCAACAACCCCAATCACCAGCACGCTCCCCCTCCCCATCCACATCCCCCTCTCCAGCCTTCCAACCCTGGTCCCGCCTCGAAAGCCTAGCAATACACCACCGTCTCCTTTCAACATACATAGACACACGCTCCAGACCACAAGAGCTGGAAAGGACAAGCAAAACTAATCGCGGATGGTGGGTTGTCTGGGTACGCATCCCACAAACACCAAACCAACAACCCTCACTATCAACCACATCTTCATCCGTTGCCCTTTCATCTCTGACGAACGAAGATGATCCCTTCACTGCTACCCCCTCTCCACCTCCCCAGGAAGTATTTCTCGTCCGCAAAGCGAGCGACTACGTATCACCCGCTACACACGGTCGTGTCAGTAGTGGCGCTCGCTTTTTCCGGGATTTAGGTGGTGCTTCTGGCTCTTCCGGGTTGACGGGGACTTCTCGTGCGGCGGAAATGGCGCCGTCGAAGTTGGTTGAAGGGTTGGGTATGGATGCTAGGCGGTATATTGAGGGATTGTTAAGTTTGAATCGGTAGTTTGTGTGCTGGTTTTATGCGGGATATATACATGTATACAGCTATGCTCAGCTCGCTGATATACATTTTCTGTTGAAATACTTGGTTCCTTTTATATGATATGCGCAATCCAGTCCTATCGCTTAGGGGCGGTTTGATCACTGACTACTGTACTGGGCAACAGTCCATGGTTCATATCGCGTGAATGGGGTACTCATTGTCGGTTTTACAGTGCTATTTGCACCAGCATTCTACGCAGGACTGGTCGGAGATTAAAGATGGAAAGGCAGTTGATGGATTAGCTGTAAAATTATAGTAAACGGGGAAACAACAAAGCCGAGTCAAGCTCATCGCATGTGGGAGATATCCGCAGAGAATCATCTATCATGAGAGGGGGAATTCGACCAGGAAGGCGAAATCACAGCGTTGACCGAGTTGCAAATCGCAAGGGGCACGAATGCTACAACCACAGGCTCCTCTTTCTTAGCTTTGGTTTCTACTGCCAATCAACGTAGCATGTTGGCATTTGGAAATTCACGGCAGTCGGAGAGAGGATAAGAAAAAGAAAGGCCCACAGGGTTATGATGAAGACAACGCCTCCCTAGACAAATTCTGCAAAACAAAGGCAAAAGGAAAAGAAAAAACACAAGGTCGACCAAGTGAATGGTGGAAGAATTTCCACGACTCGCTGTGCCCGGATTCGATATTATCCACAATCTCACATGTAGGCTCGAGTAGCCATCCTCCTTTCCGAGAGAATAAAGTCACCAACTGTTTCCGTAGAGGCTCTCATCCGTGAATATGATCTCCGCTCGAGCCCGACCACCCAACGATTGATTTAGTTTACAGAATGAGGCAGCCTCCCTTCTTGCGGCCACCCTTGCCCTTCTGGGCCTTCAGGAGAGCAGCGCGGGTGGCAGCCTCGAAAACTTCGCGGACACCCTCGTTGGTGCGGGCAGAGCACTCCAGGTACTTGTAGGCACCGATCTTCTTGCGGACCTCCTCACCCTGTACTGTGTTAGATTTGTTCACCTGACCATGGGGGAGAGAAACGCACCTGCTCAGCGGAGACGGGGCGCTGGGAGGTCTTGGCGAGCTCATCAATAGTCTTGCGGTCATCGCGCAGATCCTTCTTACAACCAACCAGGATAATGGGGAGACCCTGGCAGAAGTGCAGAACCTCGGAAATCCACTAATGAGCCGCGTCAGCATATCCGGATCATTCACTATCCAGGCAACGTTGCAACTGGATTCGCTATCAGTTGGAGGCACCCACCTTCTCCTGGACGTTGTCGAGCGAGTCGGGCGAGTCGACGGCGAAACAGATCAGGATAACATGTGAGTCGGGGTATGACAGGGGACGGAGACGGTCGTAATCTTCCTGGCCAGCTGTATCCCACAGAGCAAGCTCAACGTGCTTGTTGTCGACCTCGACATCGGCGACATAGTTCTCGAAGACGGTGGGGACGTAGACCTGGTAGTAATGTCAGATCTTCTATGTTTCTTCATATCGATGCCGTGTAGAATGAAATGGTATCGGAAATCGGGATATCGACGGATGGATGGGAGCTTACCTCGGGGAAGGTGCCCTTGGAGAAAACACTGTAATTCTGTCAGACTGCTGAAACAAGCCCAGAGTTGCAAAAGGCATCTCTGATGACGCCATTTGAAGACTTACATGAGCAGACAGGTCTTACCGCAGGCACCATCGCCGACGATGACGAGCTTGCGACGGATCTCGGCCATCTTGATAAGAGATGTTAGTATAGGGGGAAATCAGTGAGAAAACGTCGCCGAAGCCCCGCAGGTCAGAAGAGAAAAAAAAAAAAAAAAAAGGACAGAGTGAAGAATGTCAAGCGTGAGGGGGTGACAAAGACACGAGGAGAGATTTGAGAAAGGGACAAGGTGGAGGAGGGGGAAAAGGAAAAGGGTGATCCCATACGGTGATTGTAGGCGGAACGGAGTACCTTTCAGGGAAGTGAACCGGCTATTACCCTCAAAGTGGAGAGGAATGAGAAAGATGGAAGCAAGAAAGTCTGATGGAGAGATGGAAAAGACGATGGAGTGATGATTTGGAGGTGGAGAGAAAGATAGAAGACCAGGCCAGACAACAGAGGGCGGTGGCAGTATGGTAAATGTTGTTTTCCCCCTAGAGTGTGTTTTGATGGTATTTGGTATCTGATACAGGTACTTTACACCCCCTGAGTTTCAGGCAACGTTAGAAAATATAACGTTACTTAGTATGTACTCTAACTCTGTAGAGTACAGTTATGATTTAATGACTTATCCCTTTGCCGTTGAATAGGGATGTGGCTTAGCCAGGAAAAACCCGATCCTCACAGGCCCACTCGCTTTGTTTCCAACACAGCCACCGTGGCTGTAAAGATTAGCTGATATCATATGCCCCGGATCTGATATTATGGGCATTATAGGGGTTAAGTTATCTTACAGTCTTACAGTTGTAGAATTTCACTTTTACATTGTGGCTTTGCAATCTCAGCCTCTTTCACTTTTTTAGACAATGATCTCCACCTGGGCAGCTTCGCAGATGGACTCCCAACATGGACCACTCTATCACAGATAAGTATAACCCTCAGCTCCACCTCATCTACCACCCTACCGGGACGACTGGTGGGCAGTGCCCCGTACTCCGTATGCAGCTGCCTTCACTGCCTAAAGGGCTTGAGTCCAGTGACGATCTAGTTTCTGACGTTGACTCCGGCTTTCGGCTGCGATGATCTCACACACATCCTATTTGCTATGTATCCAGGGGGCCCCAGCTCATATGAATGTCTATCTAACTGTGGAATTTTCCATTTCGTGTTCAGGACAAAACTCTAACCCCCTTTCGCTTATTTCCGAGCTTCATGACTTCACACATTCTTGTTGCTTTCCTAAGTGGAGTTCCTTAATACTCCAAATAGCGGCTAAAAATAGTAAAGGGGCTAATTCTGGTTCAATATTTCCAGAGAATAGGAGCTTAGAGTGGATGTCTCCCTTTAGCGTTCGATAATCCCATATCTACGTACCACTTCTCTACTTCAGAGTAACTAACGCCGTTACACAGCATGTTTCTAAAGTACCGGTCCACTTTTTGTGGATTTGTTGGCCTTCAACCCGTCTTTAACCTTGCCAGCAATTGATCATTTACAATTATCGGTTAGGTTTGCGTGATTTGATTTGTCGCCGGCCATATCGGTCTTCCGTGCCGTCTGGAGACAGTTCCTATACCGATTGCCTAGCTCCTCGGAGCCAGCCCTATCAGACATAGGACCTTGGGAGTTCGACTGCCTGCCATTTTGGTCATAGTTTTGTTCATTGATGACACATGTATCCTAATTGGTGTGTTTGGTATGAGTCGTTCACTATAGCATCCATGCTCGTGAGTATGCTCACATAGGAGACCATGCTGGTGGCATCAACTGCATGGTCTGTATAGCATGACATCGTTAAATACCAAAAGAAACGTAGCACTGGCTGCCGTGCAGATACAGATGTTGACGAGAGATATGTATGAAATTTAGACACCATTGGTGTACTTGAACCAAACCGGGGGCAAACCGAGATATGGAAAACCTGGTCTTTGTCGTCTTAAGGGGCCTCCTTGTCTTTTGAGCTCTGGGCACTCACAATTCGTCTCTATTTACGCCGTCTTGGTGCCACTCATATACTCGCGGCAGAGCTTTCTGATAGCGGGTAATCGCATCACATCTCCCTTCTCGTGGTTTATCGTATATCTGCTAGGATCTGACATGGACAGTAGACTAGCCAGAGCAATGAATAAGGTAAAAGAAGAACAAGTAAATTGTAATGGCGTGGCACAGGTCTAAATATTGCTGATATAAGCCGATGTGGTCACGTGCCTACAATCCTTCAATTTTCGATCCGGCGGATCGGGGTGGCAGAGGCCAGTGTCACTGTTCGGCCATTGCTGGACCACAACGCCCAATATGCAAAAGGTTATCCAACGGACGGCTTTGGCCCGGAAGCAGGCTCTACGGAGAACTGTCAAAAACCATGAACGACAAGAATTGATGGACCGTCTTACCATCAGACGGCAACGGAAGGAGTTTGGTGTTGCGCTGTATGGTCAACACAAAGCAGCACGCCAGAACCGTTGGGAGGATTGGGAAAAGGGATCACTTGCTCCTATGCGAGACTCTGGTCTCGAAAGCGGCATTTACGGCGCACTCCCCGGTACTATCCTACACCCTCCGGCCATCCCCAAACACCTACGTCGAAAGCACATCCTCTTCGCTGAAGGCGACAAGGTTTGTGTCATGCGTGGACGCGATCAGGGTAAGATCAATGTCATTCAACAAGTCAACCGGGAAAGTGAGACTGTCATCATCAAGGATATCAACCAGGTACGTCTCGCCGTGTCGCCGTCTCGCCGTGGACCACCGTAGACATGCCGCCCATTCGCCTGATCCCCTAGATTTATTCGCTTATTGATATTCCTTGTATAGTACGACGTGATCATTCCCGAATGGGCCAAGTCGCGACTTGGACACCAGGGCGACACTCAAGCACAAAGCTTCCCCGTGCCCATGGACGACATCCGACACGTCATTCCGCTGGAAGACACAGAGAGTGGAGAGATGAAAATCGTCATTGTCGACCATGCATATGCTGCTGGTCCTTACAACGAGCGCCCACCGCACAGCAAACTCCCGAGACACTCCCGTTATGTTTCTGGTCTGAACATCGAGATCCCTTGGCCAGTTGAGGAGGAGCCTGCAATCACCGATGGAGACATGGATACCCTCCGTGTGGAGGTCGAGACCAGCACATTTGTCCCGACTCTCCGGAAGCCGCCGTTCCCCTCGACTATCATTGACGAGCTGCGCAACAAATATTCCAAGTTCCGTACCCGTCACGATCCTGAGTACTTGCAGGAGAAGATGATGGAAGACTACCGCAAGGAGTACAGGGAAAGTGTGTCTATGATGACACCCAAGACAGATCGCAAGACTCTGGGTACTGCTAGGGCGGCGGAAAGAAGAAAGGCGATGACGGATGAAGATGGAAAGATGCACTTGTCTGAGAAAACCCAGGCATTTATTAACTCCCACCTCGAGGAGACATGGAAGAACTTGCCAAAGCAGAAAGCCAAGGGGAAAAGGGCACACTTGGGCAAGGAATAATCTGAAGGAGAGAAGAAAGCCTAAAAGAGGTCTGATTGAGGCAGGAAATCAAGAGGGTTGTCCTGTAGCTTTGTGTACACACCACTGTATTCTAGTATCAAGCTTTGCATTCACTATATCTATTCGTTGGAAATGCCATTTCACATTTCTTTGAAATCGGTCCTCAGTATCGTCCTCAGTATCGGGTTTCTATGCGGATACTTCGGGCCCGCCTCTCCCTGCGCATCTTCACTCTATCTTCAAACTCTCAACTCCCACCTCCCACCTCCCTGCACTGCTACCGCGAATACAAGCAGTCGCAAAAAACATGGCATTCGCCTCAATTAATTCCTCGGGCACGCCCATTGCCGCCATCGAAGAGGCATTCGCGACAGAGCCCTCATTGAAGAAGAGAGTCTACGATGCGATCGGTGCGTAGCCAGCACCGCACCCAACGTCCACGTTTGGCCGTCGACCTCCTGCTGACCGTCGTCAATCGGTATTATCGTTTAGGAACAACACCGCAACACCAACCTTTGTTTGAAGATCTTGCGAAACACACCTCCAGCCTGCTGGCCAGGACTGCTAACACTACCCTCCCTTCTCGGCCCCCGGCCAGTGATGGCCCCACCGCTAAAAAGCGCAAGCTACAGAATGGTGACTCGGGTGAGACTGCGCAGGCGTCAGTCGACATGAAGAACGGCGATGCGCCTGTTCAATTCTACGTTCAAGATGTCTCTTTCGCTACGCCGCAGAGGAAAAAGCTCACGCTTGAGATCACTGCTGGGCACCGATTCCTTCGGGCAAGGAACCAAACTACAAAGGAGATTGAATTCGGTGTTTCTATGGACAAGATCCGTGAGTTTGAACTAGTGACGTGATCTCCCAGTCTTGGAACAGTTGCTAATCTGGTAATTGTGATTAGGACATGCGCTCTGCCTTCCTGTGCCAGAAAAGACTCAGAAACAGTTCAATTTTTGCATCATTCCCGAGTATGCGGATGGCATCACACCCCCACCTGAGGGAGCAACAGTCTCCGAAGCTATGGTGTTTACGATAGCCGATGGGCCAGCCAAGGCTGCATTCTCAGGGAATGGGCAGCAGATTGGTAATGGCTCGGGCGAAACGGCCGAGGGATTGCTACGCAAAATCCTGAATGACAACCTGTCTCACATCAATGTTGTGCGCCCCGATGACCGACAGTTTGTCAGTGCCATGCCAGAGGCGCATCGAAAGGGCGAGAAAGCATACCATGTTAAGGCATTCCGCGGCAGCAAAGAAGGTATGTCTTATCCCTATTTCAATGGAGTCTTGGGGCTGGTTTGGCGTATACTAACATATTGCTCTTCGTCAGGCTACCTCTTCCTTCTGTCTACGGGCATTCTGTTCGCATTCAAGAAACCCCTTCTGTTTTTCTCGTTCGACACCATTGACTCGGTCTCGTACACCTCTGTCCTGCAGCGGACATTCAACCTCAACGTCATGGCTCGCCCAGCAAACAGCACCGAGGAGGACATCCAAGAATTTGAGTTCTCAATGGTTGACCAGGATAACTTCTCCGGAATCGATGCGTATATCAAGCGCCACGGTCTTCAAGATGCCAGTCTGGCTGAGGCGCGTCGCGCTAAGGTTTACAATGTGAACAAAACCGGGGAAGATCCAGCAGCACCTACCGCTGAAGGAACCGGTGAAGGTGAAAGCGAGCTCCAGAAAGCCCAGCGCGAGCTTGAGGATCAAGAGGACGAAGAAGAAGAGGACTACGATCCTGGCAGTGACGATAGTGAAGGCAGCGGGTCCAGCAGCGAGGAGGACAGCGAGGAGGAAGAAGAAGAAGAAGAAGCCCAGGACAGTGACGAAGATATGGATCTGGTCAAGAATGAGCTTGGCAGTGAAGCTGAAGATGCCGGAGATGATTAAGTAACTTAAAGGGATATATACTGGACATGTCATATCCGGGGAGTTCGATTGACGGGGATGCCAAGATTGTAATATTACCGCTTGATTAAGCGCATTCCAGACCGAGTCCAGACGGGATCTTTTCTCCTGAGA